TATCAGAGCCTGTACTGACTGGGGGAGGCAGACCATTGCCCAAGCCTGGCCCTGCACCCCCAGCGCCCTGCCCCAGCCTACCACCCACTGCCTGTACTCCCGACATGTGCAGACACGCACAGAGGCATGCGCATACACACACACACACACACACACACACTCAAGCTCACATAGGCACCTTCTCGGTGGGGCTGAGCAAATAAATGGCCTCCAAACTGGGGATGGGTTCTCGGCGTTTGTTGATGTCTTCAACAACTAGTAGGAAAAGAGAAAGGGCCATGTGTAGGTGGCATTGGGGCCAGGGCTCACAGAGGATCTGAGACTTGGAGAGTTGGACACTAGGGCAAGAGGACAGAATGCTAGGGCAGGGGGAGCTGTACTTCCTCCGTGCCCGTGCATGGGTGGCACAGGTAAGAGTTACATGGGCAGGGTTCTGTACATTCAAGTCACAGCCCCACCCCCCAGGGGGTTTCCCGTAGGAAGTTATGCATTCTAGGGGGGCTCAGACTGAGTTCACTCTGGGGGTCCTATGTTGGGTTTCACACACAGGGGCTACATAGTCGGGGAAGCTGACCCCTTAGGAGTTGCAGCTGGGGAGTCCTGTCTGGGAGGTCCACCTGTCACAGGCTCCCACACTCAGGAGGGGGAAGGGCTCTACATACAGCAACCTGCATATTGGGGAGTTCTGGACAATCTTAGGGCACCCCATACTCAGGTCCCATCTCGGCAGCATGGGGTGGGGGTGTCCACTCACTAGTAATGCCCTCAGCTAGGATGTCTGACATCTTGCAGCAGGAGGACAAGATGCGCATGCTTGGATGGTCCATGATGAGTACCTGTCGGGACAGATGGACAGAGGGGCTGATGGATGGGTAAGAGGGCAGGGGGGGCTACACTGCCCCCGAGGTGGGGCTGGGGTGGTGGGCAGGACTGGCAGCTTCAAGAGCCGGCTGGGTGGGAGGACCCAGGACCTGCACCTGACCCCACGCTGTCCCAGGCCCAGCCACCCAACCACCTGCCCCCAACAAGCCCCCCACCAGTGGCCTCCTCTGGGAGTTCTTGTGGGTCCCACATTCAGGGCCCCTCCCCTTGGGTCGGGACAAGGCATTCTGCCAACACCCTACCTTCCACTCCCCATCCTTTTTGACACTCCGAATGACTCCATTCAGAATTTCTGCAGGGAAGGTAGGGAGGACTCAGGATGTCGGGTTCTCTGGCTCCAACACGCTCCCAAGCCTGCTGGGCCTCGGGGCTGGGCCTCCATCTTCTTTCCTGTTTGTTTTTCTCTCCCCTCAGTCTTGTGAGGCCACCCCTGGGGTCACCCCCAATTTACAGACAGGGAAATGGGTTCAGAGAGGACATGTGACTAGCCTAAGCACCCTCAGCCCTAAATGGCTAAGTGCCTGGGGCTTAAGTAACCACTCAATAAACATGCCTTAGATGAATGAATAAGGGCGCCAGGGGGGCTCAGCGGTTGAGCACCTGCCTTTGGCCCAGGGTGTGACCCCAGGGTCCTGGGATCGAGTCCCGCATCCGGCTCCCTCTGCTTGTGTCTCTGCCTCTCTCTCTTTGTGTCTCTAATAAATAAATAAAATCTTAAAAAAAAAAATAGATGAACGAATAACTGAAAGCCAGAGTTCACATCCAGGTCTGCCTCCCTCCGGAGTCCGGCTGTCAGCTTCCCCACCTGCAACCTCGAGCCCTCCGGGTGGGGACATGGAAGCCAGGCCACCCCGCTCCACCTTCATCAATTTCCTTGCAGGACACCCTACTCCCTCGCTCTGAGGCGGGCCTGGCTTCCCCCCGCTAAGCCCCGTGTGGGAGGCTCCGTGTAGGGTTGGGGTGCCGGGGTTTCGGCGGAGGGCGGGGGCAGAAGGGACGCGGTGGCCCCGCCCGCTGAGTGTCACGTCCACTCTTATCAGGACCGCCAGCGCGGGAGGCGCAGGAAGGAGGTGCAGAGGCCGGAACTACCCGAGATGGGGGCAGGGGCGACCTCACCCCTCTCCCCGGAGCCCGGGCCCACGCGGCCTAGACGCCCGAGTCCTCACGCCGCCCGACGTCCGCGGGGACCCGGGAGAAGGACGGCGTCCCCCGGCCCCGGGCCTGCCACCGGCCTGGCCACGTCCCCGAGCCTCACTCCGACTGGGGTCACTGCGCAGCGCACCCAGCCCGGGCCCTCCAAGCGCCCAGCCCCGCCCACTGTGCCAGGCTCGGGCACCCGGCGGTCGGGGCGTCCGGCCGCGCTCCCTGCCGGCACCCCCGGCGGCCCGGGGGTGCGCGCCCCGGCGCCTGCCCACGCCACCCCTAAGCCGATCCCCCGGGTGCCCGGAGTCCAGTCTCCGGCTGTTCGGCTCCGGCGCGGGAGAGCCGCGACGTCCAGCGGGACCAGGTCCCCGCCCGCCCCCTCGAGGGTCAGGTGCTCGACGCCCGGCCGGGCCGCCGGGCTCCCGCGGCTCGCGCACCCCGCGCCCCCGCACCCCCAGGAGACGCGCACTCACTTTCCCCCACCACCGCCTTCAGCCCCGAGGGCGCCATCTTCCCCCAGGGGCGCCGCCGCCGCTTCCGGGTCTGTCCCAAGGTGGGGGCGTGGCCCGCGCGTCCGCCACGTGGGCCCCGCCCCCGCGCTGGCCCCGCCCCGCGCTGGCCCCGCCCCCGCGGGCCCCGGAAAGGCGGGGCTGCACCTGGCGGCGCGGGCGCGCGGACGTGTCCACGCGGGGGTGCGGCGGCGGCGCCAGAGGGGCGCCCCGACGGCACGGGCGGCCGCGCGCTCGGACTCCCCTCGCCTGCTTGCGTGCAGCGGCGTCGCGGGGTCGCGGGGAGGCAGCCACCAGCCACCCTGCCAGAAGTTTCTCGGTGGCTGACCGACGCTGTGGGCCTATCCGGGGCCGCGGGGCCTTAACCCGTGACCCACTGACCTTCTGTTCCCCAGAGGGTAGCAGCAGGTGGACAACGTTCGATCAACCCACGAGGAGACCTGGAAGGAGGTTCGTCGAAGCTAAGCCGGCACCTGCTGTGTGTCAAGGACCTGTGTCAGATTCTCACCCGACGCGCTCAGGACCCCTGGCGGGGAGTGCGGTGTAGACGACGAAACCGCGGCTCGGCAGGAGCCTTGTCTGGGGCCACGGGGTGAATAGGCCCGCTGGGATCTGAGCCGGGTCTCCGTCCCTGGAGGGCCGCTTGTCAAAGCCTTGCCCTCACCAGGTGCACACACCCCTCCCGGGCTGATAATCGCGTTCGTCTTCTGGTGAATCCGTGGGCTTAGCGGCGTGCTCAACCCCTCGCACACTTACATACACGCTCGATTCACGTTTGACTTGAAATTTCATGGCCCGCTCCTGCTGTGCGCTGGCGTTGTCACAAGGAGGGCACGGCCCATTCAAAAGAGGTCCCATATTTCAAGGGTGATGCACAGGTGTGAATGCGGAGTCCGGAACTGGTTCCTTCATTTGGCCATCTTTATTAAGAGTGGGTCTGGTGCCTGGCCCGTTGCCACTTACCTGGGACAGGCAAGAGCGAGTAAGACTAGGTTTGCCATCTTGCAGCAGGAGGCCAAGATGCGCATGCTCGGATGCTCCACGATGAGTACCTGTCCGGATGGATGGACAGAGGGGCTGATGGACAGGTAAGTGGGCAGGAGGGGCTACGGTTGCTCCGGAGGTGGGGCTGGGGTGGTGGGCAGTTAAATGGAAGGGAGAGAGAAAATGATCGATTCTGCTCTAGAGGAAATAACCAGTGATGTGATAGCATGTGCCACGTTGCGAGGGATCTATTGTGTGTGATCCCACAGGGGGACCCTGATAGGGTGGACTTTAGATTTAACCTGAACGACATCAAAAAGCAGCCACGCAGCGATCCAGGCAGAGAGAAGCAAGAGTTGTGGCTGGAGGAGCGCAGGGAGTGAGGGGAGCTTGGAGGGGCTGCAGAGGCCAGACCTCTGTGGAACAGGGTAGGACTGACTCAGTCTAATTTGCCGGGGATTGAGAGGTTCCCAGGACACAGGGCATCCAGTGCTAAAACTGAGACAGTCTTGGGCAAACGAGGATAGCTGGCTACTCTAGGTAGGATTTGGAGGGTTTCTTCCATTTTTTTCCTCCCTCCTTTTCCTTTCTTGTTTTTTTTTTCTTTTATAGCTTTATTGAGATATACTTCACGTACCATACAGTTCACTCACTGTGCAATTCAATGCCTTTTAGCATGTCGAGAGGTGTGCTTCCATCTCCAATTTTAGAACATCCCATTATACTCCACAGTGGTTGAGTTGTCTCCTGAGGGCAGTGGGGGCCAAGGGAGAGTTCTGAGCAGGGGAAGGAGGGGAAGGATGGACTGCAGGGGCAAAGGGAGGAACTGGGAGGCCATGAGACCCCCCTTTAGCTTCTCCGCCTGTCCCCTGGAGGTGAAAGTCCGGAGGGCTGGCCACTGCCCACCATACTGTGAGGGCGATGGGATCTTCTGCTGTTATGGACTGAATGGTATCCTGCCCACCCTCCCCCAAGACAGGTTGAAGCCCTAAGCTCTGGTACCTGAGATTGTGACCTTATTTGTAAACAGAGTCATTGCAGATGCAGTTAGTTAAGAGGTCACGCTGCAGTAGCATGGGGCTCTAACGCAATGCGACTGGTGTCCATGTCTTGTGACAGCCATGTGAAGACAAGGACACACAGGAATGTCACGTGATGACAGACGCAGAGATCGAAAAACTGCAGCGACCAGCCAAGGAGCACTGAGGACTGCCTGCAACCTGGAGGAGCCAGGGGGAGGAAAGGAAGGACCTTCCCCCATGGGACTCGGGAGCTGGCACTGCCAACACCTTGACTTCAGGCTCTGGCCTCCAGAACTGTGACGGTGTCTGCTGCTCTAAGCCAGTTTGTGACTTTGCTACGGCAGCTCCAGGAAATTAGTACACCTGTGGAAGAGCAGGGCATCTCACTGGCATCAAGAACTTGGGGGCGTGGGCAGGGTGTGGCTGGGGGCCCTGGGTGGGGGGGACGCTTGCCTGGGGAGAAGGACCAAGCTTTGCACTTATGCAGGTGTGGCGATAGTGCAGTCCATTTATTCTGAGGTTTTAACTGGTTTCCAGGAAGGCATCTTGGGTAGGGGATGGGGTACAAGTGGGATCCTCCTGGTGGCACCCTCTCCCAAGGCACTGAAAGAAGGGCATAGCTGCTTGGGGGAGGGGAAGGGGGCAGGGCCAGGGACTTTCCTCCTTGCCTCCCATACCCATGCACTCAGATGACAGATCTCAGGAGAAAGCTCAACATGGCACTGGTGGCAGGACAGGAAATCCCAGACCTTCTCGCGGCGCCTGGGTGGCTCAGTTGGTTAAGTGTCTGCACTTGGTTCAGGTCATGATCCTGCAGTCCTGGGATAGAGCTCCTGAGTGGACTCCCTGCTCACCACAGTCCGTTTCTCCCTCTGTCTCCCCCTGCCCCTACTGCTCATTCTCTGAACTAAATAAAATCTTAAAAAAAAAAAAAAAAAAAGAAAGAAAAGAAAAAGGGAAATCCAAGATCTTCTTATGTTAGGGCCCATGGCAAGCAACCAGACCCAGGGACGGTGAGTAGGAGGGGAGGTCAGGAGACAGAGATGGAGCTAGTTGGCCTGGTGGTGCCTCAGTGGCCCTCAGGTCCAGCTTCTTCCCCTACTACCTGCAGATGGCAACTGCCTCTCTAGCAGGGTGAGGTCATCCTGCAGCCTCCCACTGGTGGGCTACAGATCCCACCCGAGCTGTCCAATGGCCTGTCCTCTCCCGGTGGGACCAGCCAGCCCCTGTTCCCCATTGTGGGGATGCAGCTCTGGCCTGCTGTTGAGCCCCACCTGAGAGTTCTTGGGGCCCAGTGAGTCCTGCTGGGCAAGGTCCAAACCCAGGTCACCCGGTGTCCTACCCCTGCAGCAGCACCGGCATCCTGCTACAAAAACAATTATCTGGATCATCTTTATGGGGCTTAAGCGTGGGTGGGAGCAGATGGGGCGTGAGCTGGGGATTTGGGGCTGGGTATCCACTCCCCCCACACACACACACAACCCAGTCTTTTAAAAAGCCTTCTCTGGCACAGGGCAGGGACAGAGGCCAGCAGAGAAGTGGACGGGACCCAGGGGAGGGGAGCGGGGACAATGATGGACCAGGAAGAGAAGGTGGATGGGAGCTCAGCCCCCTGCATTAAGGTAAGCAGATCCCACCCCACACATCCCCAACTCAAGGGCCTGTGAATGACAAGACTAATTAGTTTGTAGGGCACCTAATTAGCAAGCAAGTCTCCTGGGACCCCTGACCCAGTTGCCGCCCAAGGAAGTGCTGGTGGGCATGAGGGTCCAAGCGCCTAACCCAGCCCCGGGGCAGAGGTCAGGGCTCTCAGTGCTGACCCCTGTCAGGTGGGGGATGCTGGGATTTGGGGGTGGCCCCTGGTATGTTTCCCTGGCTCATGTCACAGCCCCCAGGCCACCCTGCAGCCAGGGCCCCAATTTAGAACATCAGGATGCTGGCACCAGCAGCCTCTCCCTTGAGGCAGCACCACGTGAAGTGGCCCTGCTGCCCCGGCCCCTGGGGCAGGGGCCGGGATTGGGAAAGAAGCTCAGGTCTCATTCTGAGCAGCTCTGCAGAGCAGCACATTGACGGAGACTATGGTGAGAGCCGCGGAGGGGAGGGGAGGGGTTCCCCAGCTGAGAGGCCAGCTGGACTGAGTGTGTCTGTCTCTCAGGCTGGCTCTCCAGACCAGGAGGGCTTCTTCAACCTGCTGAGCCACGTGCAGGGTGACCGGATGGAGGAGCAGCGGTGCTCACTGCAGGCGGGGCCCGGTCCGACCTCCGAGAGCCGTGAGAGCGGGCAGGGGGGTATGTGGGATCGGTGTGATATCTGGGGGCATGAACGGGGCAGGGCATGGGGATCCAGGGAGAGTGGCCATCTGGGGGGCTGGGGGGCAAGTCTGAAACAGAGCTGCAAATGGGAACACTGGGCAAGGGATGGGAGGTAAAGAGACAGGGAGTGCCTCCTAGAGAACTTGAGTGGGGGCGAAGGAGCGAGTTGGGGGCTCCAGCTTGGGCTGTGTCCCCTGGAGTCTGTGTATATATTCATCCCCACATGCCTCTGCTTAAAGCAGAGAGTGGCCCTGCACCCGAGATGGACAGCCTCATGGACATGCTGGCCAGTACCCAGGGCCGCCGTATGGATGACCAGCGTGTGACAGTCAGCACCCTGCCTGGCTTCCAGCCCATAGGCCCCAAGGTAGGTGACATTCTGCTGGGGCTGAGCAGAGACCTGTGGGGCTGAGCCCTCTGACTCTGCCTCCCACCCCCGGCCAGGAGTAAATGGGGCCTCACTATCCCATCTATCCATGACTTGCCCCCTACGGATGAGTGCCTGGTAAGAGTGCAACCCTGGGTCCCTGCCAGTCACAGGATCCTGGCCCATCCAATACCCAGCTTTGGGTTGTAGGACCAACGCCCACCCTTTCTTAGGCAGGGCTGAGAGGGGCTCAAGGTCAGGCTGGGGGCATGTCAATGTCAGAGCCGCTGCTGGAAGTCATGGCTCTTGCCTCCCTGTCTCAGGGTTTCAGGGAAGACAATGAAGGAAGACACTTCCAAGGAAGAGGGCACATTAGTTTATACACAGGACACACGCATCCATGCACTCGTGTGTGTATGACACACATATGCATGCGTAGCCTGGATTCTGATCAAGGCCCCAAATACCACCCTAAATGTTGAATAACTATGGTACACAGAAGCTGGGGGATGGTAGGAGGGAGGCAAACGGCAGGAGGTGGGACACCTGCACCCTCCCCCAATGTTTGGGTCACCTCCAGCTGGCACTGCCCTTGGTCCCTCCCTCTGGCTGACCCCTCTTCATCCACAGGACGGAGTCCAGAAACGAGCTGGGACGCTCAGCCCACAACCCCTCCTCACCCCTCAAGACCCGACTGCTCTCAGCTTCCGTCGGAACAGCAGCCCCCAACCCCAGACACAAGCCCCCTGAGGGCCTGAACCATCCTGGGCCCTCCTTGGCCCCTGAAAGCAGACAATAAAACACTTCCACAAGAAATAAGAAACTGTGTGTATGTTATTTCCTGGGTGAAGGGGCTAGGACTCAGGAGCTCTGCTGGGCAGCGCGAAGGAGCTTCTCCTCCCGCTGCTTCCGTATCCTCTCTTTGAATTCTTCTAGCTCCCGGCGCTGGGGGTGTAGAAGGAGGGTGGAACAGGAAGGGAGGAGGTCACACACCTCAGGGGCCCGGACCCCCTTCCCACCACCCTGTCCCTTATTCCCCCAGGACACAGCTTCAGAGTTCAGCGCCTACACTGGAGACCCCGTGCCAATTCAGCGAGGGCCCGAGTGGGGCCAGCTTCAAGTTTCAGGAAGAGGGCAATAGGGAAACCATATGCCCCTCTGCTCTCGGTTCTCTCCTCACGACTGAGAGCAAAATTTTCATTCAAACTCATCATGGCCACGGGGATCCAGGCACTTCCATCCCTTTAGGGGGAAGAAGAGTATGATACTTACTTGGTCCTCCTTCTCAGGTGGCCACAGCTCCCTCTGTGGGAACAAAATAACGGCTGGAAGCATGAGCCAGGAGCCTCCAGACACACCCCCTTCCCCGTAAGGCAGGGCTGGCTGGTGGAAAGGGGACATTGGTCCCCAGCAGCTGGGTGCTCCAATCTCTCCCCCACCCCCTGGAAAGAACCCATGAATACTCTCCCTGTGCCCACCTTGCGCTGTATGACATAGTCCTCAAACCACTCGGCCTGATTGGCAATCCAGAACATAGCGACAGGGAAGGTGAGGTAGAGTGTCATCTAGAAGGGGCGGGGGATAAATGGGCAGAGCCAGGGATTAAAACCCCTTCCACGATACGCGTATGTTGCTCAGAGCCTGGAGGACCATCCTCCCGCAGTGCCAGGAGTGCCTCTTCAGGGCCCCCCAAGAACCGCACAACTCCCACCAACCCGGTAATAATAATAATTCAAGAGACCTCAAGTCTCCCCCAAATCTGGGAAACTCCCTCTCAAACACACACGCGCACACTCACGCACACACACACACTCCCTGACTCAGGGTACAAATCCTCGTACTAAAATCAAAAGCCTCCTCGTGAAACCTCATTCCCCACCCGCTCGTCAGATCCCTGGAGCACCCCCAAGCCCAGGAGGCCTCATTATTTGGAGTCTATTCCCCTAAACGTAGGGGTCTCCCTCTCAGAAACACACAACCACACGGAGCCCCTGAGCTTCCCCAGATCTCCCCCAGGGTCCGGAGCCTCCTTCTCGGAGCCCCCGTCCCCGGACCACTCCTCTCCGAGGCCCTCCCTCGCAACAGCCCTCCCCTAACCCAGCGCCCCGCCGCTGGGGCTTCCAACCCGGAAGATCCCTCTCCAAACACAGACGCCTTCTCCCCCCGACATGGCCCTCTCTCTTGGAGTCCCCCCTCTCAGAGCCTCCTCCCCAGATCCCAGAGGAGCCCAAACGCCGCCCAGCTCCGAAGCTCACTGACCCGAAACACCTCCAGCTTCACCCCCATCTCGCTTCTCCTAGGCTACAAAGCCGCTTCCGCCCAAAGTCGACCCTCCAGCAAAACGGCAGCTCATTGGACGTTCGCGGGCTCCACTACTGACGCTGATTGGTAGAGGGGCTTCGTGATGACGTCATCTTCGGGAGCCTCGTCTCTGCTTCCGGTCCCTGGCCCCCTTCTAAGCGAAAATCAACAAACGCGGTCCGCGGGGTTGGAAAGGGCTCAACCAATAGGAAACAAGTCTGGCCCCGGGGGGGGGGGGAGCGGGCCTTCAGAGGGAGGCGTCATTATAGCGCGACTCCTGCCCGTACCTGGAGTTCCCGGAAAATGGTGGTGATGGCGCGTCTGTCCCGGCCCGAGCGGCCGGACCTAGTTTTCGTGAGTGTGGGGGCACCGACCTTGGATGCTTCCCGGGTTCGGGGCTTGGCCGCCTGGGGTGACTGGAGCAAAACTGTGTCCACCCGAGGGCGGGACGTGCGGACCAGGCTGGCCAGGAGCAAAGTTCTGGTGCCGGAGTCCAGGTGGTCCGAGTGAAGAGCTGATGTCGAGGTTAAGGGCCAGGAGGCCCGGGCCTCGGGCGGGAATGGGGACTCGCGGGGAGAGGGGAGGATCGTCAGGCTAAATCTCGTAGAGGTCTGCGTCTGAAGTAAAGGCTAGTGACCCAGGGCCAGGGCTCTGGTTTCCGTGGTAAAGTCTTTGAATGTTTTGAGTAACAGCCTAGGTCTGGTACCGAGCGTTATCGTTTATGGATACAGGGCTTGGTGTGTGGACTAGGAGAGCTCCGGAGTCGGATGTGGAGCTGGTCGGGCGATCGCCGGTGGGATCTTGAAGAGTCCGAGACTTGGTGTCTTGGTATCTGCAGCACAGGCATACATGTCCTTGGATTTCGTTTCACAGATATTGCAGGGGTTTTTTTCTTTTTGTTTTTCTTTCTTTTCTTTTCTTTCGACAAATTGGAGATTTTGGGCAACCCTGCATCAAGCAAGCGTGTTGGCACCTTTTTCCAACAGCATTTGCTCAGTTCATGCCTCTGTGGCACGTTTTGGTAATTCTCACAGTATTTCAAACTTTTCTGTTACTTTTGCTTTGGGGGCACCAGGAGCCACGCCCATATAAAAGGGGAAGTTAATAAATGTTGTGGACTGTGTTCAGGACTGCTTCCTGGGTTATTGCCCACCTCTGACCTTGGGCCTCCCTTCTCCCCCAGACATAACAATATTACAGTTAGACCAATTAGTACCCTTACAGTGGCCTCTAAGTGGTCAAGTGAAGGGAAAAGTCATACGTCTCTCACTTTATTTTTTTTAAGATTTTATTTATTTATTCATGAGAGAGAGAGGGAGAGAGAGAGAGAGGCAGAGACACAGAGGAACAAGCAGGCTCCATGCAGGGAGCCCGACGCGGGACTCGATCCCGGGACTCCAGGATCACGCCCTGGGCTGAAGGAGGTGCTAAACCGCTGAGCCACCCGGGCTGCCCAGGTCTCACTTTATTTTTTTTTTTCAATTTTTTTTAATAAGTTAATTTTTTATTGGTGTTCAATTTACCAACATACAGAATAACACCCAGTGCTCATCCCGTCAAGTGTCCCCCTCAGTGCCTGTCGCCCATTCACTCCCACCCCCCGCCCTCCTCCCCTTCCACCACCCCTAGTTCATTTCCCAGAGTTAGGAGTCTTTGTGTTCTGTCTCCCTTTCTGATATTTCCCACACATTTCTCCTCCCTTCCCTTATATTCCCTTTCACTATTATTCGTATTCTCCAAATGAATGAGAACATACACTGTTTGTCCTTCTCCGATTGACTTTTACTTCACTCAGCATAATACCCTCCACAGTGAGTTCCACAGGTCTCACTTTAAATCACAAGCTAGGGCAGCGCGGGTGTCTCAGTGGTTTAGCGCCACCTTTGGCCCAGGGTGTTACCCTGGAGACCCAGGATCATGGAGTCCCACATCGGGCTCCCTGCATGGGGCCTGCTTCTCTCTCTGCCTGTGTCTCTACCTCTCTCCCTGTGTGTCTCTGTGAATAAATAAGTAAAATCTTTAAAAATAAAAAATAGGGCACCCCCAGTGGCGCAGCGGTTTAGCGCCGCCTGCAGCCCGGGGTCTGATCCTGGAGACCCAGGATCGAGTCCCGCGTCAGGCTCCCTGCATGGAGCCTGTTTCTCCCTCTGCCTGTGTCTCTGCCTCTCAGTCTCTCTCTCTCTCTCTGAATAAATAAATTAAAAAAAATACTTATTTAAAAAAATAATAAATAGGTTTGTCATCTTTCCTAAATAAATAAATAAATAAATAAATAAATCACAAGCTAGAAATGATTAAGCTTAATGAAGGCGTGTTGCCTTCTTGAAGAAAATTAGAAATGCGACTTCAGTGAAGATATGAATGATAAAAAAGCTAAACAAACAGCCTTATTACTGTTATAAGAGAAAGTTTTAGTGGTCTGGGTAGGAGATCAAACCAGCCACAACATCCCTGTAAGCCAGAGTCTAACTCAGAGCAAGTCAGTAACTCGTGGTTCTACAAAGGCTGAGAGAGGTGAGGAAGCTGCAGGAGATGAGTCTGAAGCGAACAAAGGCTGATTCATGAGGTTTAAGGAGAGAAGCCACCTTTATAACAAAAGCATAAAGTGCAACTGCAAGTGCTGATGTAGAATCTGTAGCAAGCTGATTGAAGATTTAGTTAAGATAATTAATGCAGGGCAGCCTGGGTGGCTCAGCGGTTTAGCGCCGCCTTCAGCCCAGGGCATGATCTGGAGACCCAGGATCGAGTTCCACATCAGGCTCCCTGCATGGAGCCTGCTTCTCCCTCTGCCTGTGTCTCTGCCTCTCTCTCTGTGCCTCTCATGAATAAATAAATAAAATCTTTTAAAAAAATAATTAATGAAGGTGATTACACAAAACAGACTTTAAAAACATTTTTTAAAAATTATTTCTCACAACCTTGAGATCAAGAATCAAACGCCTAACCGACCCAGCCACCCAGGCGCCCCAAACAGACTTTTAATATAAATGGAAAAGCCTTCTCTTGGAAGAAGATACCATCTAGGATGTTCATAGCCAGGGAGAAGTGAGTGCCTCACTTCAGCACTTCAAAGGACAGGCTGACTGTATTGTCAGAGGCGAATGCAGCTGGTGACTTTAGGTTGAAGCCAGTGCTCATTTACCATTCTAAAAATCCTAGGGCCCTTAAGAATTACACCAAATCTACTTTGTGCTGTATAAGTGGAACAACAAAGCTTGGAGGATGGCCCATCTGTTTACAACACTGTTTACTAGATATTTTGAGTCCAGTGTTGAGACCTGCTCAGGAAAAAAAGTTCCTTTCAAAATATGACTGTTTGTTGACAATGCACTTGGTCACCAGCAAGCTCTGGCAGAGATGTACAATGAGATTAATGTTGTTTTCATGTCTTCTGACATAACATCCATTCTGCAGTCCACAGGCCAAAGAGTAATTTCAGTTTTCAAGTCTTATTATTTAA